TGCTTTATGGAAAAGAAAATCAATTTGGTTTTATTCCATTTTCTATTAAAACATAGCCACATTGCTGTGCAGTTGTAGCATTCAGTTGGAACACCTTCCAGAGTTAGGTTCAAACTGGATTTTCTTTCCCACTAATGTAAGAGTACCTGCCCAGGACACTCTCCATGGCCAAATGATTGTGAAAGTTGAAGAACTGCTGCTTGTACCAGAACACTGCACTGATAGTTGCTTTGAATTTTCTAGTTGCACGAACATGCAGCCTATTTGGTAGACAGTTTGTGGGAGAGCTCTCAAGAACTGTTGAAGGACTGGGAATGTATGACAGAATTGCTCTTGGAGGAACCAGTCCAAGGAGAAGAAGGTATTTGTTTAACCTCTGTACTTTATTGATATTGCACAATATTGTTAATTGTTCCTTAAAAAGATGTTTCACTGTGGGCAGTAGAGGTATTTATGTTGTGGTTTGTTTAGAATGCATATTTGAAGAAGATTATACTTTAATCCATTTTTAATACACTTTTCTTCAAAAGTAGCATTTTGGTAGTCTATTTTTCATCTTGTGAAGTCTGCTGTACTGTGTTTCCCTAATATTAAAGGCTAGGATGACTTCTTGCCTGAATGTTCAAATAACTAGTATATACATGAACATTTCAATAAATTAAATAGCTAATACAATTTTGAATAAACAAGCACTTCAGGTGGTGTTCATGAAATATGGGGCTCTCCCAGACAATGTTAAACCCTTATGAATTCTCAAGTGAAAAGAGGAAAAAAAAAAAAAAAAGGTGGGATTCTTTTGCCATTAGTTTCGAATCTCCTTTCACTAATAACAGATCTCTGTGGCACAAGGTAGCCAGGAAGGTTGGTGGCAAAAGAGTCCCTAATGGTAATGAGTGTCATTCAAGATCCTTCCTAATCCTTTAGGATTCTCCTGCTTCAGGGACTTTCGCAGGGGTTAGGTGGTTGAAAAGCCCATGTACTCTTACTGCTTCCTAGCAAGATGTGCTCCTCATCTCAATGTTTCAAAATCTGCCCTTTTGGTATCTATCTGCTATAATTGTATTTATATGGTAATTTCCTTAGGAAATTAGGCACTTTGGTTCTTTGTTTCTGCATAGCCTAGTGAGGTTTGATCCTCTAGACGTGACCAGAAGTACTCCCAAAGAGCAGAAATAATACTTCATGACGGTGAGAATATCTTACAAGGAAGTGACAGTGAACCATCAGTCGCTCTCTGTCCTCCATCACCCTCATTATTTTGTAGATTTTTGTTATATTCCAGTTCACTCATCCTTTTTCCAGATTACATTTCTCTGGACTTCTTTCAGTTTGGCCATATCCATTTTGAGAAGATGTGAGTGGTAATTCAAAGAGCAGGCAAGAAAGCCTTGGTGTTCTAAATGGGACAAAATGATGTCGTCTCTGTTCTCTATTCCTTGTGTTTTACAACTGCATTCACAGATTTGTCATCTTTTAAGATGTCTTACACACACATCAGAACTGATATTACTTGTTCTTTTACCTCCATAGCAATGTCTGACCGGCAGGAGAGTGCTCTTATTGAGCTGATGGTGTGTACAATCAGACAAGCTGCTGAAGCACATCCTCCAGTAGGCAGAGGCACTGGCAAGAGAGTAAGTGGTACTGCAGTACATAGCTCGGACCTGTGTGTTACTATAGTAATATAAAATATTTGTCTACGATGCTACATTTTGACACTTTTAAATTAGATTTTCACAATTTTTTGTTTCCTGTTTCATCTGAACATTTTTGAAGAAAAATAGAAATTCTATTTCTGGACACGTTTGGGGTTTTGTTTGATTCTGGGTTTTGCATTGCCAAGTTAAGTAATATAAATTGACAGCATGAAAATATATATACTTTTTTTTTTTTAAGATGTTCTTTTTATCATACCCCTGACTTACACTTGTAAGTACCCACATCTACAGCCCTTAATGTTAAATCTAGTTTAGAACTGAAAGTATAGAACTCGGGAGCAGAACAAGATTACCTCTGACTTCCTTCCATAAAAGGAATGTGCTACTTACGTGGACATAAAATTTGCAGAAAAGGCCAACAGTGTCTTCATCATGAGAGTAATGAAGCACTGGAACAGAAGGTGAGAGTTTGTGCAGTTTCCATCCTTTGCAGTTTTCAAGACCTGACTGGACAAAGCCCTGAGCACCCTGGTCTGGCCCTTGGGCAGAGAGGGGTGGGACTGGCACCAGCTTGAATGCATCTGTGGTTTTATGTATCCATCCTCTTTGGCCTTTTCCACTGAGTGCCCTAAAAATTTAAGAATTTGACATTCTGGCCATATTGCAATTTAGCTGCCTCTCTCATTTATTTTATAGTGACTATTTGGGGATCAGTGGAAGCCCATTCCTAAGGTTGGGCATGCACTTTTAAGCATTTCCATATAAGTCACAAAGTCCGGGTGATCAACAGGCTTTCAACTGTATTCTCCATAAATACAGCATCCATGATCCAAAAGACTCTCAGCTTCCCAAACATATTTCACTGATTTTTGGTAGTCCCTTTCTTATTTAGGTTAAAATAAAGTAAACCCATGTGAATATTTGGCACTTCTGTTAGGTTCTGTTCTGAATAATCATAAGTTTATTAGAGAAAGACACAGACTTAATGAAGGTGAAATCTGGAGACAGACTTAGCATTCTTTATTGCTAAACTCAATGCAGTTACTTAGCTGCTTCATTTTTATGTGCCAAAAGCAGATTAGCCTCATGTCCAGAAACAGCAGCCCAGGAAAAGCTCCAAGAAACCATCATTTTAAACATGCTTATGTACCTTAGTTTGTAAAGCATATTCTAATAAATTCCTAATTTATTAAAATATTTCAGGGGTGAGGAGGGAAGCTATGAAAGCACTTACTCAAATTTACACAAGCCTGTATTATCCTGTGTTACCAAAACACGGCATTGTGTATTGTAAGCACAACTTAACTGTGTTTTGTCTCTAGCTGCAGACTGTTCTAGCAGACAAAGCAACCTATAAATTTAACAAAAATTTAATGTTTTTATTTTGTGTTTGGAGCACCAAATAATGTCACTATTATAAAATACTTTCCAGGTGTTTTTTCTATCTCAAGGGATCTACAGTTCAGTTCGCTGAAGTTCTTCAAATTGCTTAGTTTTAGATTGTCAATGTCTGTATTTCTTCAAAGCTAAAGAAAACACTTCATCAAAATAAATTTCACCTTCTGAAGGATGATCAAAAGAGCCTCGAGACCATCCTAGGGACCCAGATTAATTCATAGCACCACTGAACAGCAATATTTGGTCACCAGAATATGACATGGTTGTTAGGGGATGGGAGCCTGACGTGGTAGCTGGCTTGTGTTGCCCTCCGACGAGCTAGCAGCTTTTGGTGGCACGGGTGGTGCCGCACTGCGAGGTGGTACGGGAATTGCGGTTGCTGCTATAGGTATCCAGCTGTCTGCTATGTACTATGGAAGTGGTTCCTTACCCTGGTTGCAAACCTGTT